GGAGTTCAGTGTAGTGTTGTGGGCTAATGCACTGGACCGCAAGGTCAGTTTGAACTACAAGATTAGTGATTCAGACTCACCAGCTACTTCTTCAGAACCCTATACAGGGCTGATATGAGTTGGGACCAACTTGATGGTGCTTAACAACAACAACCATATAATTATGGAAAAGTGAATTCTAATCTCAACCCCTTTTGCAAAAAATTTTTGCTGAAACAATCTGAAAGGTACCTGATAGAACTGGGGAAAATGGAGGAAAGTGAGTACGGTCAATTTAGGCATTTTAGACACAGTTTGAATAAGCCAGTTTAATTTACAAAAGGAGCAATTAAGAGACAGGCACAAATTATATAACAAGCATTTCCATACAAACAAATAAGCTTTTCCTATGGAAGAGACTTAGGGTCATTTTAGAACTGTATGAAGTGGAAACAGACATGGATTTTTTTTTTAAAGAAATGTGTACACTCACCTGAATCCTCATATGGCACTGTAGAATCAGCATTGGACTACTAATCATAAGTTTAGCGGTTCAAATTGACCACCCACTCCTCGGAAACCCTATGCAGGGTGGCTCTGACTCAGAACTGACTTGCCAACACAGAACAGCATACATTTACATATGTATAATATCACTACCTCAAAGCAGGCTTTTGAATCATTTCCAAATTCAACATGGCTAACTGAAGATTAAAAAGCACTAGTAATGCAATGGTTAAGCGTCCAACTGCTAACGAAAAAGGGGCTGTTTGAACCCACTCAGGAGCTGCACTGGAGAAAGGCCTGTCCATCTGCTCCCATGAAGACTAGAAAGCCTGGGAGGCAGTTCTAGTCTGTCATGTGGGATTGCTGTGAGTAGAAAGGCACCTAACAACTACTACTCAAAGTTAACAGTCTCATCTTTGTTATGTGAACTATTAAAACAAAGGGGGATGAGTTACTAAGAGTTTCTAAATAAAGCATATATCTGGGTCCACTATTTTCCAATTGTTATCTTCTCTCCTCTCCTTCTCACTCACATTCTTTGTCAGGAACTATCTTTCAGCTATGTTGTTGTTGTCGTTAAGTACCGTGGAGTCAGTTCCGACTCATAGTGACCTTGCACAGGGTTTCTGAGGCTGTATCTTTACAGGAGCAGAAGGCCTCATCTTTCTCCCACGGAACCAACAGCTGGTAGTTCTGAATTGCCAACCTTGAGGTTAGCAGCCCAATTTGTAACCACTACGCTACCTATATGTATGATGATTTCATCCACTCTCAACTCTGGCTAACGAGCTCTGGTAGCGTAGTGGTTACAAATCGGGCTGGTAATCTCAAGGTCAATAGTTCGAAACTACCAGCTGTTCCATGGGAGAAAGATGAGGCTTTCTGCTCCCATAAAGATTTACAGCCTCAGAAACCCTGTGCAGGGTCACTATGAGTTGGAACCGACTCCATGGTACTTAATAACATCTCTGGCTTCTTTCCTGACTAGTTGTAAAATTTTGTGGTAGAGAATTGAACATCAACAACAGTGACTAGAGAAAATCCAAACTAGAGCTTTTTCCTAGAAAATTTGTTGTAAAAAGAACAATTACTTATGGAAATCAAATGCAAATTTATTTAAATGTAGTTTAAAATTCCAAAACCCTTCCCCCATTTTGATGAAGAATTTGAGGCTCTTTTTTGTGCTAATCCATGTTAGAGGAGTAAAGCGGGTCCTTCACAGAATAAAAGATCATCAGGGAGACAGCTGGTGACCTTTCTGTACTCACTTAGGTAGCAGCATGTAGAAAATGAACAGGAGGAACTGGGAAAAGAAGTGTGGCCATACTGGGTATCAGAAGTTCAAAAATGTACCATGTGACTATCCTATGTTTGGACCTTGGCTTAGGCATTTTAGACTCAAGGCATGGTGTCTTCAAATTTTGCATAGGTGAAAATCACCACTCCAATGGTTGGTCCCTTTTCCTTCACTGCCAATAGCAAGCAGTTCTTCATCAATAGCTATGTGGAGTCCTGGTTTGGCACTGTGGGTTAAAGCACTGTACAGAAATGTGGGTTGAAACTATAAGGTCAGCGGTTCTAACTCACCAGCTGCTCTTTGGAAACCCTATATAGAGTCACTATGAATTGGAACCAACTCGACGATACTAAACAACAACAACAATGTGTAGACTCAAGAAGTTCTGGAAGCGTAATGGGTTACATGTTGGGCTGCTAACCTCAAGGTCAGCAGTTTGAATCCACCAGCCACTCTATGGGAGAAAGATGAGGCTTTCTGTTCCCATAAAGGTTTACTGATTTGTCAGCACACAGCAGCAGCATGTATAGAATCCACCATCTGTCTGTCAGTTTGTTATTCTGTGGTGCTTTGCATGTTGCTATGATGCTGGAGGAGTCCTGGTGTGGCACTGTGGGTTAGTGTGCCAGACTGCAAAGCAGTTTGAACTGCAAGGTTGGCGGTTCAAGCTCACCAGTCGCTCCTTGGAAACCCTATACAGGATCACTCTGGGTAGGAACCGACTCGATGGCACTTAACAACAACAACATGATGCTGGAAGCTATGCTATCAAATATATCAAATACTAACAAGGCCACCCATGAGACCCTGGTTTCAGTGGCACTTCCATTAAGAAAAATTGAGAAGAAAGACTTGATGATCTAGTTTTGAAAATTTGCCAGTGAAAAGCTTATGGGTTACAGAATATTGTCTGAATACAGAATAAGACTGAAATGTGCTTACTTGAGACAGGTCATCAGGAGGGAAGTGATGGCTGGGAAAAGAAATCATGTTTGGTAAAGTGGGGGGTTGCTATGCGTTGTTGGGCCTGTGACAGCAAGGGGAAGCCTCAGCGATTGACAGAAAGGGGATTGCCCGAATGATTACAACTTTGGACTCAAACATGCCAATGTCATGAAGATGGTGCAGGTCTGGACAATGTTTTGTTCTTTATGCAATTACATGGGGTCACCGACTCAACAGTAACGTGGAATAACAAGCAATACCAAAGCCATAGCCCTTGAGGGCCATACAGGAAAAAAGGATATATTAAGATGTCCCGATATATTAAATGGTCACACAAGTCTTGAAGACAATGTGTTGCTACAAGTATTCAGAAGAAGGAAGAAACTTTGCAAGCTGGGATGACTTGCCTAATCATTAAATGACTGCATGTATTTAATATAAATTTTAATTGTAATAGTATGAAATGAAATCTCAATAAAAATCTTACTTTGTTTTTCAAAATTTGAAATAATATGCAAAAAAAACCCACTAAACAAAATAGGCACAAAAGGCAAGAATTATGTAATCGTAAAGCTAGCCTGAAAAACTGGTTTTGTTAATGCCATTTGATGGCTCCACTATAGGCAGAAGAGAAACACCTAACCTCCTTAGTCAGTCAGTCTTCTAGGAAAACAGGTCCTGAGTCATGACAACCGTGACTAACAGGAGCTTCTGAGCAAAGGCAATGTCCTGGTACTTTAAACCTATTGATGTTCTTAAGGGCAAGTAAATTCATTATTTTCTTCATTTTTCTAGAGGAAGCACCACTGTACTAGTAAAAGAACAAATCTTCCCGCCGGTGAAACAAACATTTCTTGCAAAATGCAAACCTATTGAATGAAAGTTAAATAGGTTTGCATTTTAATAACCAAAGATTTAATTACCAAAGATGGGAAGACTGTGACTTGTGGAGGGAATCTTGTCTTCATTTTCTAAGGATGAGACCAGTGCAGGAATTGAAAAATAAAACCAGTTGCTGTTGAATTCGCTTGGTTTGTGAGGACTCCATATGCATCAGTGTACACCTGTGCTCCATAAGTTAAGATTTTCAATGGATGGTTTTTCACAAGTAGGTTACCAGACCTTTCTATTCAGATGCCTCTGGGTGGACTCAAACTGTCAACCTATCAATTAACAATTAATCATAAAAAACATTTACCCACCTAGGAACTCCAAATTAAAAAGCAGAGTCCCACATTTATAAGATAAAACGAGGTGCTAAGACTTTGCAAGATTTATCAACTAAGTAGTCAGATTTTTCTTTTTTAAATGATGAAACCAACACAAAAACTTGGAAGAATGAATGCAATCACTCATTCACGTGTCTACTATTTTTTTTAAAAAAAACCTCTAGTTGACAGTGAGGTTGAGCTGACCTGAAGGTTACATCATGTGTTTCTGACTGAATTCAAAGGGTACACTGAACTGACTTTCTGAATTAAAACCATTTGGAACCCACCTAAGTGCTGAAGTCTAGGCTGGGTTTGTTAGAGAACGCTCACCTTATCAGTAATTTTTAGACTGCTAAAGCCAACATTGGCTAATTGGCATTGTTGCTGTTGTTAAGTGCCATCGAGTCGGTTCCGACCCATAGTGACCCTGAATAGGGTTTCCGAGGTTGTAAATCTTTATGGGAGCAGAAAGCCTCATCTTTCTCCCACGGATCAGCTGGTAGTTTCGAACTGCTGACCTTACGGTTCGCAGTGATTACAGGATGAATAAGACAGTAGAGTGGAGGGAAATAATAACCTAAGAGATCACCACGCTTTTGACAGAAAGCCCTGGTGGCTCAGTGGTTGTGTGCTTGGCTGCTAACCAAAAGGTAGCTGGTTTGAACCTACCAGTGGCTCTGCGGAAGAAAAGATGTGGTGTTCTGTTCCTGTAAAGATTACAACCTAAAAAATCCTATTGAGCAGTTTTACCCTCTCATATTGAGTCCCTATGAGTTGAATCAACTCAGTGACACACAACAGCAACGACATTTTGAACATGTAAATTACATTATAAATAACATGCAAATATGCCCCAATTGCTTGATTAGTTGACTGAAGGGCTCAAACCATTTCGTGATGGGTTTAAATCACAAAGTGCAGTATTTACAGTCAGAGCAGAGTTCACTTGGAAGTGAATTCCAGTGATGATATGCCCTGTGGGCGGACTTCAGACTGAAAGGCGTTTTCTACATTATGCCAAGGCGATTGATGTTTCTTTTCTCTTCTTCACTGTGTTACAGACCAGACGATGTGCTCCTGCATCGCACGCATGATGAGATTGTCCTCCTGCACTGCTTCCTTTGGCCCCTGGTGACATTTGTGGTGGGCGTTCTCATTGTGGTCCTGACCATCTGTGCCAAAAGCCTGGCAGTCAAGGCAGAAGCCATGAAGAAGCGCAAGTTCTCTTAAAGGGGAGTAGTCTTGTGGAAAGCAAAGCACAGCGGCTGTACGCATCAGCGCACATCGTCCTGCAGAGCCCATGATTCGGGCGCAGGAGATGGAAGGGTTCATGAGAGGTCTCCGAGAGGCTCCTCCCTCAATGGCAGCAGAAACAGGCACAACTGCAAGACTTGGAACCTCATAGCTTGTATTCCGTGTGTGGTAGTGGTTGTATGGAGTAGCCATTTCAGGAATTTCTCTAAGGAGTTCCTTCTCTTTGGAAAAATACAGTATATTATTTGTACAGTGTAGTATACAAACCATTATAATTTATGCTACTGACAAACATTAAAATAGAGTGGTCTGTGTTCTTTTTTTAAATTTCCTTTTTTTTATGCTTATAACAGGGTGAAAAATGGTCCTCTGGGTTGCATTTGATTCTAGTTCAAACTTTTTCTTGGAGATGAGGATTCCTGTAAAAATCTTGACCTAGAGTCCTCAGTTTCCAATATTAAAACATACCTTTTGAATTTCCTCTTTAAAAAAGGAATACACACTGTTAACTCAGTCTCCAATCACTTCTGCAATTCGTATAATCCAGGGACCCTCAGAGACTGGGAAAACACATCCTCTCCTATTTGCCTTTGCCTAGCCATTTTTCTCACCTGATTATTTCCTAAAAGAGGGAAATGATTCTGAACAAGTCCTGTCCTAGTTCTAAGAGTACTGGGCTCCTCTATTCATCTGTTCATGTTATTGTTGATGGGTTCTATCTCTGTACAACAGATTGTTCATGATGTGAAGGACACTCTTCAGCTTTGTTAAGTTGATGTTTATTTATTGGGTCAGAAAAGCATATTCAAAATCAGTTCAAGCATTCTGCTTTTATTTTCTTTGTCCTTGCCTTGATGTTATCAGTAATAAAACAGGAAGGTTTCTGTAGTTGTTCTATTTGCTTGACCTCCGTAGTGATGCAGCCTAGCTCCACATTGCTGCTGTTAAAGCTTTCTGTGCCTTTATCCAAAAATCCACTCTTGGAACCATGCTTCTTTGCATGTCTTCATAAAGCCAAATTCCAGATATCAATCAGAGGTCTTAGTGAATGTCCAGTGGATCCTTTTAACTTACCTGGTAGAATCAAACCTTTTTTTAAAATGAAAGGTACATTTTAAATGAAAGGAACAACTGACAACTTAATTTCCTTTTGCTTTTTTGTGATATTCTCTAGGCCTGCTTCTATTACAGTAAAGGAAAATTGAAATTTAAGGACAAACTCCCTCTGTTATTTCCATAGCATTCTAAAAAATATACATGTTAGTTGAATGATGGTCTCCTTTCAGTCCACATACCAACATTTTCATAATTTTGTAATGCAAGTAATTGAGAAGTCTTAGATTTCTTTGGAAGAATGTTGACTGAATACAATCTTCCTTTTTTTCTAATTCAAGTGCTACAGTGTCACTGTGAAAAGGCCTTGAACACACTATTTATGACATCCATTGAGGCAGTTAGAGTGCCTTAACTTCAGTTCCAGTTTTCTGTTGCAGCATCCTTGTTGTCTTAGCAACACATTGAACCATTCTAAAGCATGTAGTAACACAAAACTGAAAATCAAAGAATATCTTCGTCTTTGCATCACCTGTCATTAAGAATGATAGTCTACTTTATCCATTTGATTTTTTGGAAAAATATAATTAAATTATTATAGAGAGTGGATAAAACTCAATGGTGTATGGACGTTCATATGTGTAAGAAAATAGGGTAGTCTGTGTATATTGATCTGAGTTTTCATTGATCAGTTTGATACTTAGATTAAATCTTTTCTTTTAGGCCCAAGGATTAAGCATTCTGTAGACTGATTCTTGGGAAAGAAAACAGCGCAATGAATTTATATGGTCACGTGTAGTTTTCGAGTCCTACTTGCTTGTTGTTAAGTGCTGTGGACTCATAGCTACCCTATATAGGGTTTTCAAGGAGTGGCTGGTGGGTTTGAACCACCAACCTGTAGTTAGTAGTACAGTGTTTATCCTACAGTGCCACACCAGGACTCCTCTTACTTGCTTGTAGCCAGTTCAGTTAGAGGGTCCTTATTCATACTTAAAGGTAAACCCCAAAAGGAACAGAAAGTACATTTCTAAGATCATAAAATTCAAGAAAATTAATTCTTAGTGCTTTAATTCTCTTCTTATCAGTTACAAAATGGGCTTAGTTGCTGTAACAAAGAGATCCCAAAATATTTCTTCCTGAAATGGCAATCCAGAGGTAATGAGAAGTGAAGGGCACTAGGTGGTCAAGGGTTCTAGAAGTTGTCTATCTTGTTCTCTCATTACCAAGGGTGTTGTTCATCTCCATGGTTGAAACTGGCTCAAAGAAGCACACACACTTTCCAGACTGTGAAAAGAGAGAAACTTGAGAGTGTACGATTTCCTTTTAAGAAAATTTCGCCCATCACTTCTGCTAATATTCCATTCATGGGTGCTTAATACATAGCTACAGCCTCGAAAACCCTGTACAGGGTTGCTATGAGTCAGAACTGACTCCACGGCTCATAACAACAACAACATCCCTAGCTTCAACGAAGGCCAACACATGTCACTAGTCAGGGGTGGGGAATGTCCAGCCCACAGGTCGTATGTTGTTGTGGTGGTTAAGTACTATAGAGTCAGTTCTGATTCATAGTGACTCTGTATAGGGTTTCCTAGGAGTGGCTGGTGAATTTGAACTGCCAACCTTGAGGTTCAAACCAACATTGTGGTCTAGTGCATTATCCTACAGCATACCAAGACTCCTCACGGGCCATAGTTGTTGTTGTTGTTGTTAAGTGCCGTCGAGTTGGTTCCGACCCATAGCGACCCTGTACAGGGTTTCCGAGGGTGTAAATCTTTACGGGAGTAGAAAACCTCATCTTTCTCCCACGGAGCGGCTGGTAGTTTCGAACCGTTGACCTTAAGGTTCGCAGCCACTACGCTACCAGAACTCCGACTCACGTGCCATAGTGGGGTTGCAAAATCATTTGGTCTAACTCTGCCATGGCAACTGCAGTTCAACCATCACTTTAGGGGTGAGTTAATTAAATATTTGACCAATTATAACAGATAATTTTTAAGTTGATACTTTTGTATGGCCCACGAATGGTGTTATAAATTTTGGCAAAAAAAAGTTTCCCCACCCCTGAGCTAGACGGATGTGCCCTACTAAAACGCTGGTGGAGAGGTTCTATTACTAAAAGGAAAAGAGGAGAATGACTGCTAATGTAACAAGAACGAGGAGCAGCAGTCTGTGGCTCCTCCTTCCATCCCCCACCCCCCAACCCCCGGTGCTGGCAGGAAATACGATCTTCATCTTCGGCTAAACCTTAACTCTGCTTCCTGGGAGAAACTCTGCAATCCTCTGTGACGCCTTGTGGGACCTCTAGAAAATTCTTGTCCATTATCTTCCATGGCCACATCTGAAACTCCTTAAGGGTATTACAGCTTTTGCAGCCCTCTTCCAGCTGGTATAGATTTATAGACCTAGAAATTGCCTTAGGGAGTGAACAAATCAAGGCTATTAAAAAGCCTTGACTAGTTTATTTGGCTGCAATAATGAATATGACTCCATTTTTGATGTTTCATCACTGACAGCTTACAAGCTTCATCACTCTCCTTTTCCCTTAAATCCCACATCTGGGCAAGCTGATAAGAAAGTCTCGTGCCTTTTCCCTAGGCCCCAATGGAAAGTCTAAACCACACAAGCACAGGTCTGTATGCTGGAATCCTCACCCCAGGCCCACCTCCAACCACAATGAAAGCCAAGCTGGTCAAGCCATTGTTGGATCTGTTTGAGAGCCTGCCTTGCTGTCCTCAGAAAATCTCATTATGTGAGTAATAAATCATTTTCGTACCCTGTTGGTGTGTGTGTGTGTGTGGTATTATCAACTTCGACTTCTGAATCAAAATTTTGTTAGGGGGAGTTCATTCCTCCTCTAGGAGGTAAATACAACATTAAAGATATAAACTCATCAAAAATGTATTAGGTAGTTCTCATCTCTGCCAAAGAGCGACTCTGGCTATAGTTCTGCAAGCAGCAGAGTCTTGTTTCTCAATCTCTATTGCTATGAGTTGGAACTGACTCCATGTGATTAACCACAACCACGTAATTGGTCCCTGGAGTCCTGGTATGGCACTATAGGAAAAGCATTGGACTGCTAATCTCAAAGTTGGTGGTTCAATCCCACCAACTATTCTTTGGAAACACTATACAGGGTCACTATGAGTTGGAACCAACTTGATGGCACTTAACAACAACAATTTTTACAGAAGCAGACCACCAGGCCTTTCTTGTGTGGTGCCCCTGGGTGGGTTTGAACCACCAACATTTAGATTAGCAGTCGAGCACAAAGTATTTGTGCCATCCAGGGACCAACTATGTTGTTGTTGTTATTGTTATTAAGTGCCATGGAGTCGGTTCTGACTCATAAGTACCCTGAATAGGGCATACAAGAAGTGGCTGGTGAGTTCGAATCACCAACCTTGTGGTTCAAACCTGTGGTCCAGTGCTTTATCCTCAGCGCAATGCTGTGGTACAGAATCGACCTTGTGATTCAAACAGACCTTGCAGTCCTGTGCTTATCCTGCCATGCCACAATAGGACTCCATTTGAGAAACACTGAATACTAGTCTAGTCTCCTGTTGAGAATACAGAAGCAGTTGGGGGCAGAGCTTTAACAGCTAGGTGACCTACTTGTAAGCCAATTTTTCTTGTGTCACATCAACTAGTTTTATTGGCCCTTACTGAAAACAGCAGGGTAGAGCCAACATACCACCACGGCTTGTTTTCTAACTTTCCTCATAGGTACAAGTCTTTTTCACACACAAAAAAATCATGCCCCCTCATAATTTAGATTTTTGTTATAACAGCACTTTTTTATTTCTAGTGCCTAATTAAAAGCCATTGGAGGAGAATACTGAAAGTGCCATGGACTGCCAAAAGAACCAATAGATCTGTTTTGGAAGAAGTGCAGCCAGAGTGCTCCTTGGAGGCCAGGATGGCTAAGCTTCGTCTCTCCTACTTTGGACATATTGTCTGGAGGAAACAATCGCTGGAGAAGGATGTCATGCTGGGTAGGGTGGAGGGTCAGAGAAAAAGAGGAAGACCCCCAACGAGATGGATCAGCCAGGTGGCATCATTGATGGACTCAAGTGTGGGAGCGGTAGTGAGGTTGGCCCAGGATCGAACATTGTTTCATTTTGCTGTGCATGGGGTCGCTATGAGTCGGTTCCGACTCGATGGCACCTGACAACAACAACAACAACAATTAAAAACCACTTAGGATATGGGCTAACCTACAGTAACAGACCAACCCTAAAACATAGTAGTTCAAATTAGATCATTTATCTTTTATGAAGCCATCAGGAGACAGTTCATGAGT